AGGTTGGTATATTTAATGCTAGATAACTTACCATAAAGTCTTTCAGTGTAATATTTTTGAAAGAGAAGGGATAATAGTGATCATTTGGTAATCAGTAGGTTATCTTTGATCTTTATACTACATGCACATCCATAATCTCCTTTGTAGTTTTGTAAATACTTTTGCTTTGGAAACTTTTTCATTACCTTAAAACACCATAACTGTGACCAATCTTTTCAGTTCTCCAAAAACCTAATTTAATTGTATAGTTTTGACATGGCTTCATATAATAAAGAGCCTATTTTAAATTGAGAGTTGTAGTCAGAAAAATGTTAATTTCCTAAAGCTCAGGAAATATTAGGGTGTCACTTCTTTTGCACTGCAGCATATAAACTAGCATATTAATATTTACAATATGTCTTTTTGAATGTATCAAGGATGTATTTAGTTTGAGTGGAATTTGTGTCAGCAGATATCCGTAACTTATTGCCTCTTATACTGTAAAATGTTAAACTTTAATTCCTATAATCCTGGATAGTATTCATTAATATCAGTAAAAAACTTAGAGTTAGTTTTAGGGCACTTTTTATTTTGAGAGCATGAAGTATGGAATGTGTTGATGAGATTGTTGATAAAGCTGAAGCCACTTGCAAAATGATTTTTTTAATGAAATGCATAAAGTCTTTTTGGATAATATAGTATGCACCGCTATTTGCTTGATTATGTGATGTCAAAAGTTTAACTATATTTCAAGTACAAAAACAAACTGGATTACTTTGAGGATGTTCACTAGCATTCACAATGGGTTTGTTTTGGTGTGGGGCAACTGCCACTAGCTAAAACAGTGTTGTTAATAGTAATTCAATAAAAATGATTTTAAATGTATAACTTAGATGTTGAATTTATTTGATGGATATTAAGAGCTAAAGTTATAAAGTCTGTTAATATTATAATATCTTCCTGTTATTTCTTAATTAGAGGCATGCAAAATAAGTTACTTGGCATAGTATTTCAAGTTTTGATGTTTAATGAAATGATGAGCTTAATCAGCCATTAAGATGTGTTTCAATTTTTTTAAAAAATATATATATAGTTTTTAGTTTTCTTCTGCCTCAGAATTACAGTATGATCCTCTTCATGGATTGAGTGATATTCCTGATCTATTTCTGAATCACCAGCGTTTACTGTAATTTTGGCATTAGGAGATATTCAAAAAAGGTTTGTTTTTAATACTCCTTGCCATTTATTGGATATTTATGATGTTTCAGTCACCCTACTAAAGTGCTTTACTTATATTTAATCCTTATTACAACCTTATGTTAGGCCAAGTGGCTTGCCCCAAATCACACAGCAAAGAAATAGCAACTAGAGTCAATGTAACTTCATCCCAGCGCTATTAATTAATCACCATTATATAATGTCTCCCAATGAATTCTTTTGAAACAGATTATAGGATTAGTCATATTTGGTAGCAGCATTACTATTAGAACAAACTTTGGAATATTATGTCTGGTTAACTGGATCAGAAAGAGGCAATTTCCCTGTATTTTGAAGCTATTCCCCTCTCTGAGAAGTTTGAGTATACTTGTTACCATTTTGAAGGGTTGCAGGTGAGGGGGATTAGGTAAAAAACTATTTCTTTAGGGGAAAAAAACTCAGGCTATTCAAGACTATTTTAATAACACAACTACTACTAATCACTAATGCTGAATTCTTAGCAAATGTTAGGCACTAGGCTAAACATATTTATAGATTCAAATGCCCAAACACACAAAACTAAGGGTCACAATTCAAACTCAGATGTGTCTGATTCCAAAATCTGTGCTTCTCTCAGAAGTCACAAGTAAATTTCCAATTAGAAAATCCAATTACTGGGCAGCCCAGGTGGCTCAGCGGTTTAGCACTGCCTTCAGCCCAGGGCCTGGTCCTGGTCCTGGAGACCTGGGATTGAGTCCTATGTCGGGCTCCCTGTGTGGAGCCTACTTCTCCCTTTGCCTGTGTCTCTGCCTCTCTCTCTCTCTGTGTCTCTTATGAATAAATGAATAAAATCTTTAAAAAATCCAATTACTGTTTCTCAGTGACTGCTGTACCAGAAACTTCCCTCTTTATTTTTTTTTTAAGATTTTATTTATTTATTCATGAGAGAGAAAGGCACAGACAGGCAGAAGCAGGCTCCATGCAGGGAGCCTGAGGTGAGAATCCATCCCGGGTCTCCAGGATCACACCCTGGGCTGAAGGCAGCGCTAAACCGCTGAGCCACCAGGGCTGCCCAAAACTTCCCTCCTTAAACTTGTATGGTACTATTTTATCCATTTTTTTCCTCTGCATATCTGCTTGTTTAGGGAGTTCATTCACTCCCTTGCTTCTAGATACCACTTTATTTTAAAAGTAATCTTTAGATACAATGTGGGGCTCGAACTTAAAACCCCAAGATCAAAAGTCACATGCTCCACTGACTGAGCCAGCCAGGTGCCCCTCAGTTGTCACTTTTTTTTTTTTTTAAAGATTTTACTTATTTATTTGAGAAGGAGAAAGCAAGGGATCCCTGAACCCTGGGATCATGACCTGAGTGGAAGGCAGATGCTTAACCGACTGAGCCACCCAAGTGCCCCTAGCTGTCATTTCTGTAAAAATGATTCTCAAGTTTGTTCCACTACTTAGTAATATCTCTTCTAAACTCTAGTCCCACATTAAGGAGAGCACTTTGATGTAATGAGCACTGGGTATTATATAATACTGATGAATCACTGCTCTCTACCTCTGAAACTAATACATTATATGTTAATTAATTGAATTTAAATTAAACCCAAAACCCTCTAGTCCCAAATTTCTAACTCCATGCCAAATATATCTGCTCATATGTCAGTCACCTGAAACTCAATAATTTGGAAGAGCAGTATAGCTATTAATCCAGAGCCCAGTGTATTGGTAACTTTTGCTGCAATAATGCTATGTAACAGCCACAAACACTCAGTGGTATACAAAAACATTTATTTTCCAAGTTTGTGGAGTTCAGCTACTCAGGCCTTGGGTGATCTTGGCTGAGCTCATTCATGTATTTGCAGTCAGTTGGGAGTTGGCTAGGCAGGTCTTGTGACTTTGGCTGAGCTCACTCATTTGAGTGATCAAATGTATTTGACTGACTTTTGGCTGAGCCACAACATTTATCTCCATCAATCATTGTTGGGCTGTTTCTTGTGTCCTTCACCAGGCTAACCCAGGCATGTTCTCTTGGTCATGGCAGAGGAACAAGTTGTTTTCAAGCCTCTGTGTCCTATCTACTAATATCTCATTGGCCAAACCAAGTTATATGGTGCAACCTAGAAACAAGGGAGGCTGGAATAAAATCTACTTTTTAAAAAACAAATTTGTTTATTCATGAGAGAGAGAGAGGCAGAGACACGGGCAGAGGGAGAAGCAGGCTCCTCGCAGGGAGCCCGATGCGGGGCTTGATCCCTGAACTCACACCCTGAGCCAAGGCCGATGCTCAACCGCTGAGCCACTCAGGCATCCCTAAAATCTACTTTTAGTGAGAGGAACTGCAAAGTCACTTGGCAAAAGGTGTGGATGCAGAGAGATATGAACAATTAAAGCTACTAATGCAGTCAATCTACTGTAGTTAAGTTGCTCACGTTTGAATACCGCTCTGCCACTTACTCGCTGTATAACCTTGACAAGTTCCCTGACCTTGGTCTCCTCCTCTGCAAAATGAGTTATCTGCCTTCTTTGGTTGTTGTGAAACAAAATGCTTTAAAACATACAAAGTACACAGTAAATGTCCCTCCCCAATTTTGGGGGCACGTAGTATGCCTGACAGCACAGTCCACAGGGCTTTTTACCTGTCACCAATGGCAGAAAGTCCAGGATCCCAGTCCACCCCCCTACGTGGCTTTAATTGCTAAGTGGATAATGACTTCAGTAACTCATGCTTGAAGTGTGTACATTTGGCAAAATTATGAAGGCATAATTTGGATAGCAACTATTTAGGTGTAGATTTATCAGATAGGTCCTTTGGGTTTAAGTTTGTTCAATTTTCTTTCTCCGCTATGTGGACTGCTGCCGTGGGACCTGTGGACAATGAAGGGGGGACTGTTCATGAATATAGCAGCACGTGTAGTTCTCTAGCAGTAGTTCTGATGCTACTCAGGTTGAAGGCTATCTTTTGTAGGATAACAAAGCCCCCAAAACTTGCTTAAAACAAGGGTATATTATTTTTCGCGACTCTGTGGGTTGTCTGGAGTCTCTCATTGAGTTGGCAGATATGCTGCTGGACAGTCCCAAAGGTTCCGAACATAACTGGGGCCTCGGTGCTGACTGTTGGCTGAGCCACAACATTTATCTCCATCAAGGCCTCTCTATAGGGATCCCTGGGTGGCGCAGCGGTTTGGCGCCTGCCTTTGGCCCAGGGCACAATCCTGGAGACCCGGGATCGAATCCCACATCGGGCTCCCAGTGCATGGAGCCTGCTTCTCCCTCTGCCTGTGTCTCTGCCTCTCTCTCTCTCTCTGTGACTATCATAAAAAAATAAAATAAAAATTTATTTAAAAAAAAAAAAAGGCCTCTCTATAGGACCTTGTCCTTGAGGACCTCTGCATGTGGCTTCTCCATAGGATAGCCGGATTTTCCTTGATGAGACTTTAACCTACTTTCCTTGATCCACTATTTGATGGCAGTGGATTCCAAAAGGGCGAAAGAAAATGCTGCAGGCTTCTAAAAGGTTAGGACTGGAACGGACATTCCAGTGTCATTTCTGCTATCTCTGTTGGGAGAGAACTATGTGAGGGCCTGAATACCAGGAGGCAGTTTATTGGGAGACACCAATATAACCATCTAATACATTTGATCAGCCTGGTAAAGCAAGGGGAAGGAAGCAGGAGCGGGTCACACAGTATTTGGTTGTTTCACTTTTAATGATACAAGGATTGAGCTGGGTTCAGATGGTTCCATTATAAACTTCTTCCATTATAAAGTTACCGATCAATTTTTCCACTAGTAGTTTTATCTACTGATGAGTACTATACCTCAATCCATGGTTTCATTACAAGTTGCAAAATGACGATTTTCTCATTCTTGGATTCCTTCTGAGGGACTTTCCCCAAAATCTTCAACCTGTAAACGAATCGTAGAAAAAGGAAGGAAAGTGGTTCAGGATCTGTGATGTAACGAATGTTGAAACCAGTAAAAACTTGGTGCTCCTGGGGTTAGTTGGGATCCCATACTATCTATGGACTGTATCATCGATGGAGGATAAATGGAGGATCATCTGAAGACTTCATTCATTCATCATCCTTTTAAATATTTTCAAATCTTTCCTTGTGCTAAATAAAGAGTTTCATCCTGGGCTATGCTGCTTACCTCTTCCAAGTTTATAGAATAGCCTTCAGTCTAGGTGGAGAGATGTTGTCATAAAGAGCCCCACAAAATTAGTTGTTGGATTTACTATAAAGATGCTGTTGAAGATACAGTTCACTATATGACACAGTATTGTTTTTGAGAAATTGTGGGACAAATTTATCTTTGGTCTTAGTACTGGGAATAGTGCTCCTGAGCAATGGGTTTATTATCCTAGGGATACTGAGACTATCATAATTGATCTTGTTTTTCCTTGTTATAACGTCTACCAGAATTAAAGCAAGTGCTCAAGACCCTAGAATATGTATTTTTGTGCATTATTCTTCTGTTTTCTCGTTGCCCAAATTTTCCCATTTTAATTATTTTAAATTTTATTTTGCTTATTGCATTAGTTTTTTTTGTAAGCCACATAAGTGTTTTTAGAAATAAGGTATAATTTTTAAAAATATGCCGAATATATTGGTCTTTTGGGTGGTGTACAACATCTTCCCCAATAGACAGTAAGCATCAAAAGGATTTGTCTTGTTCACTCCCAGTGCTTACCAGTGTGTGGCCCAAAATAGGTGGTTGGTAAGTTTCTCTAATAAATTAATGTTGACGACTCTTTTTCAAATTACCTCCTCCCGGTTTGGGGGGGACCATTCTATCCCAGTTTTTCTTTAACTCTTCTGATCCCTTGTTTCTCTTCTATAGTTGTCTCTCTTTTTTTTCAGTGCTTCCGAATACTTGAATTTCTCTAGATTTTGTTCTACATTTTCGATTCTTCTCACTCTTTGTGCTCTCCCTGGATAACCTCATCTAAACCAAGGTTCCAGTTACTATTTGTAGGTTAAAGTCTCACAAATCTATACTTCCAGTTCTGACCTATGGCTTGCATCCCAGACACATAAATTCTGCTGACTCCTGGGCCTTCATTTGGCTGTATGAGTTACTCCAAATTCAGCATTCCACTGTCCCTAATGGCAGACATCATTTCCTCCCCTAAACCTGCTCCTACTTCATAGTATTTCCTATGGGCCTCAATGACGTTGCCATCTCCCTAGTCACACAACCCAGGAATCCTAGGCTTGCTTTTTAACATACCAACACATTCAATCGGCTACCCAAATCTTGGGAGATTTAGCCCCCAAATATCTAGATACATATTTGAATATAAGGGCATTCATCAAACCAGTCATTTATGATAGCATAAAAGTAGGATAGCTTGAATACCCCCAAAGAGAAAAATGGTTAAATAAATTACATAATCATCTCTTGGGGTATCTGAACAATATGACATGGAAAACACGATCTAACGAAAGCAATTAGGATACATTATTTCATATCAGACTTTATATATATATATATATATCCGTAGAAAAAGCAGCTTATATTTGGTGGTAGTAGTAGTATTGGTAGTAAACAAGTACTGGTAGGTTCCATTTTCATAAGGGCCTTTGCATCATCTCTCCTCTGTGTACTGTTTTTCCTACCCTCTGTCTGCCTAATTCCTAATGTACATTCTTACTTTAGGTCTCATTCAGCCTAAATGTTACTTCTTCAGGAAGTCTTCCCTTTTTCTTCTATCTAAAGACCTTAGAACATGTACTTTGGGGTATATGGACATATTCTCATAGTGACCTGTACTTTTCATTCATGCTGCTTACCAGTTTGAACTTATGTACAGTAGTTGTGTGATTATTTCTCGAATGTCAACCTCTCTCCCTAGACTATACGATCTGTAAGAGTAGAGTCTATGCTTGCTTTGTTTAGTACTGTATCTCCAGCACCTTGTATGGCTCCTAGCATGTTTATTAAAAAAGAAAAGAAAAAGAATGAACTACATCAATGGTTTTCTAAGCATGTTTTGAGGCAGTGCCCTTAAAGGCCACAATGAAGTGGTCTTTCTCCCTTACCTCTTCAGTGCGTGTTCCAATGACCCCAAAACCCAGGCTCTTGGGGCTACTTGTAGTTTCCCTCTCACATCCCTTTGCAATCTCATTCACACAGTTCCCTCAGTTGACAATAGTCTTTTTTTCTCTGCTTTGCAAACTCATGCTGTAACTCGAATGCCAACCCTTGTAAAAAGCCTTTCCCAAACCTCCTCTGTTCCCACAATATTTATATCTCTACATAGAACCCCTGCAGTTCAAATTTGGGCAAATTACATAACCTCTCTAAGCCTATTTTCTCATCAGGAAAATGTGAAGAAAGTCACAGGTTGGGCTCTCCAGGAAGCACTTGCATGATTAGTGTGCAGATTAATTAGGAAATACTCTTAGGATCATCATTTATGAGGTTAGGGAAGAACAGGGCAGAGGAAGAAGTCAGGCTGCAATGTAGTCTTAATGGGATGCATCAGCTGATGCAAGTTGTTCTGTAGCTAGGATGATGCACCAGAAGTGTCCCAAGTTGAGGTGAGAGGGCTAGTCCTCCTGACAATCCTGATACCACGAGTGGCCCTACACTGACTGATCAGTGGTTGGATGTAGCCTCCTCGGGAAAAGGTGTGACACTGACCACCACCAGGAGGCTTGACAGCTCATGGCTGTCTGTGGGCAACATTCCTGGCTGCTGGGATGGTAAGTCCTTCATTTCTGAAGGTTATCTGGCAAGTACCTTTTGGTGCCCAGCATTAATACTATCTCAGGATTGTTGGAAGATTTAAAATAGGAGAAGTGGTAAAAAGTACATAGCATATTGCCTGCCACATAGAACTCCAGAAGAGATGACTGTCGGGGTTATTACACATAGAACGTGGCTCTGTGAGTGCCTTGTAAGAGCAAGATAGGGAAACCTTATTTATTTCTGTGACTCTAGTCCTAGAACAGGGCCTGGAGCCTATCCGTGAAGGCTTGTTGATGTGTTAATATCAACACAACAATATACCTGTCACATTTTGTCTAGAAGCAGATGTTATTTCGAGTTGAACTCTCACCTAAAACAAAAAGGTCAATGCAAACGTCTAATAACACGAAAAAGAAAAGGAGGCACACATATACCCATTCGCCAAAAATAAATAAATAAATAATAAATAAATAAATAAATAAATGAATGAATGAATAAATAAATGATAATCCAAAGACAAGGAAACAAAAGCAGTGAAGCAGAAGAGCTCCAGTTGAGATGGCTTCTATCAGTGGATACTGTATTTTCGGAAGATAATTTCCTAGATAATTTTCTAATTTTGGGCAGGGAAGGAGATGTAGCGCACCTTTCCCACCGCCCATAAATGGGGAGACTGTCAATGTAACCGCCATCCCAGAGGAGGTACCTATGTCCATCGGTGTTTATTGGGCTTTAATTCTCCAGCATGCCTAATATAGTTTGTTGACATGTTTGCTTTTTTTTTTTTTTTTTAAAGACTTTTTATTTATTTATGAGAGACGCAGCTAGGGGGAGAGGCAGAGACACAGGAGCGGGAGCAGCAGGCCCCACGCAGGGAGCCCGACGCGACGCGGGACTCGACCCCGGGCCTCCAGGATCCCACCTGGGGCCGAAGGCGGCGCTAAACCGCTGCGCCACGCGGGCTGCGGGCTGCCCTGTGGACGCGTTTTATTACTGACTTGATCTTCAAAAGTCCATCTATTAGAGTGATGTCTATACGGCAGCCGGGCTTACGCTCCACCCCACAACCGCGGTACCAGAAGTCGCCTGCTCCCCCGGCTCGGGCCAGCCACAAGCCCCTGCCGGCCTGTTTTGTCTCATTTCATTCAATATCTCATTTATTTATTCATGAGAGACCCACATGCAGCGAGACAGGCCGAGACCCAGGCCGAGACCCAGGCCGAGACCCAGGCCGAGGGGGGCGCCGGCTGCCCGCAGGGAGCCCGGCGCGGGCCTCGATCTCGATCCCGCACCCGGGTCCCCGGGGCCGCCCCGCCGGCCGGCGGTCGACACAGGACCCCTCAGTCCGCCCCGCGGGTGCCTGACACGGGCCCGGGGACGCAGCAACGAGCGGGAGTCACGGAGTCCCCGCGTGGACGGAGCTCCCGTTCGTGGCGGCACCGACAGGGCCAGCCCGGGGGGCACGACCGCTGGAGCCGGGGAGGGCGGGGCTGCGAGCGCGCCCTCCCGGGCACCGGGTCCGCGGAGCCGCAGCCCCGCGCCCTCCGGTCCGGCCCGAGCAGCGGCGACTAGGAGCCCGCGGGAGCCCGCAGGAGCCCGCAGGAGCCCGCAGGAGCCCGCAGAGCCGCAGGCAGACGCAGCAGCGCGCGGACCGGACGGAGCCCGGCCGCCGAGGGAGCAGCCGCAAGGACAGGGCGGGGGCTGGCGGGGGGGCGGCGGGGGGGGCAGCGGCCGGCCCCGCGCACCTGCGGGCGGGAGCGCCCCCGTCCCGGCCCCGCCGCCCCCGCCGCCGCGCTGCACGGGCCGCGGCCGCCAGCAGGCGGTGCAGTGAGCGCGGCCGCCCGCCGGCCCCAGCGCGGAGAGAGGAGGGGACCGGAAGGAGCCGCCGCGGCTGCGGGAAGTGGCAGGAGCGGGAGGCGGGGACCCACCTGGAAGCGCCGCGGCGCCGCGGCCGAGCTTCCTGCGGCGGCCCCCGAGCGACGGCCGTGGCGGCGGCGGCGGCGCCTCTGCGAGCGGCCCGCGGCGCCCGGCCCCGCGCGGAAGGTGAGCAGGCGCTCGGGGCACGTGGCGGCGGCGGCGGCTGCGGCGGCGGCGGCGGTGCGGGGCGGGGGGGCGGACGCGGGGAAGGGAGGGCGCAGGAGGACGGAGCCCCGGGCGCCCTCGGCTCCGGGACCCGGATCGGCCGCCGAGCGCCGGGAGGGGGTGGGCTGCGGCGGCGGCGGCGGCGGCGGCGGCGGCGGCAAGGCCCCCACGTGGGGCGGGGGTGCGCGCGCACGTGTGCGCGGGCGGTAGGGGGGCGGGGAGGGCTCTCGGGAGGACGACCGGCGCGCGCTCGGCTAGCGGCGGCCCACGTGACGCGCACGCCGGGGGCCGCGTGCACGTGACCGGCCGGGAGGCAGGTCGAGGCAGCGGCGTGTGGTCGCGTCTGTGTGGCCTAACCGTAGTCAGTGGAGGCGTTAGGGCTCCGCTACCGCTCTCCTCCCCTGCTCGGGGGTGTAAGGATGACACACAAAAGGCGGAAAAGGCTTTCTGGCACTTGCCCTGTTCTACCCGTTCTCCAGTCCGCTGACGAAGCCCTTTTCCAGGTTCCGAAATGCCGATTTCCTCGTCCCGCCATGTTGGTTCTAGAGGGAACTCGCGAGAGGCTAGTGGGTTTGTATCGCGAGATCTGTCGATTCTCGCGGGACCTCGTTGGCAGAGCAGTTGTCCTGGATGGCGAAGCCTTGGGTTCCGGGGGCCTGGGACCCGCAACTCTTTCTGCAAGGCAAGTTGTCAGGGAGGGGCCGGGGGCGAGTGCCTCTTGGTGCCGGGAGACGCGCTAGGGCAGCCCCCGGAGTCCTGAAGGGAGGACCGGGACCCCGGTGGGGGCAGCGCGGTCCTCCCCACCCCCCTGCGGGCGCTCCGCCACCTGCCGAAGCGTCTGCGCCCCCAGTCCCAGCCCCGGCCCCCCCCCCCCCGCCCCGCGCCCCGCGCGGTGGTGGTTCCGCCTCCGTCCCGCTCCCGGGAAGCCCGGGGCCGTTGTCGCGCGGTCGGGACGACTCCCTGGGATCCCGCGGCTCCCACTTTGAAACGTTCATGTCAGTTTTTCCCCTCTTGTTGCCATTTTTTGCAAAGAATTCCAGACCTGTTAGCCGTTCTGTCGCTTGCTGCCGCCGCAGCGCCTTTCTCCGCGGGCCCCTCCCCGACGCTTGAAAACTCCTCAGCAGCTTTGCCTTCTGGTTTTTTTGTTGTTGTTTGTTTGTTTGTTTGGGTTTTTCCCCCCCGCTCTCCGGGCATCGTTTGCTCCCGCTTCCTTGATCCCTGAGAACTTCCTCTTGACTCTTCCTCTGTATTTACGGTCACTTTTGACAGTATTTGGAAGGAGCCCTCCTGCCCCTGACAGCCCCTGACGTCAGAACTGACACCGTTCTTTTCTCCTCTTTCTGCGCGTGGCTGCTGACTCCTGATCCTCATCGATCGGGTCCTGATCGCGGCCCCGGTTAGGGGGGTTGCCATCCTTGATGCCCAGAGGCCGGGGGCTTGGGGTCGCGGGGTTTAGGGTGATCGTGGAATGTCTCAAGTCGGAATTTTGGTGGGAACCAAGCTTCTCTTCGTAAACTTCACCGAAAGTTTGCTCTTGGTTTTTCCTTTAAACGAGTTTGACATAAAATTAATTTTTCTCCAACCTTCAGTATCTTAACAAATGAATGTACAGTGTACCTTTTTTTTTTCTCCCCGTATTCTTGAGAAGTCTGGGGATTTATTCAGCGTTTGTCGTGGGGAGTTAATCACAAAACGAATCAGATAATTGGGTCGTTCACTCATTAATTTGTCTCCAACTACAAAAGTGTTTGTCTTCACACTACCACAAAGAAGTGTATATACAGAATAAAAAGCTCCCTGTCACCTGCCAAGTTGCCTTACTCCGTCTTAAATCTCTGTGACCATTCTTAGCAATAGCTGTGTATTATTCCATGTGTTTTGTGTGTGTGTGTGTGTTTTTTTTTTTTTAAGGAAGAGGAAGAAGCGGAGTGGTGTTTTAAGATAACGCTGTCACAACATTAGCAACCAGTAAAAAATTTTCTACCCAGCTAAATTTTCATTTAGTGATAATATGTGTATTGTCCTGACAAATATCTGCATATTTGCTTTTATTTAATTTATTATTGTTTTCATATTTGGTTTTTAAAAAATTTGCACACTTTTTTTTTTTTTTTTTTTTTTGGTGGTGCAGTTTTCTGAAAATATCTTGAGGGATAGCATTATTTCCATCTTAGAGATTCAGCGTGCTGGTGACTTTGCACCAAAATGAAATCCATGTAAAATAGGATTTAAAAAGAAATATGTTATCAGTTGAGCTTTATATTTTTATGTTTAGTATCCTGTGTTATATATTTGAGCTTCCTTGTATTGATGCTTATGTTTTGTGATAATTACATATCCTGAGTTCTCACCCAAATATGTGTGTAGGAGTTTTTCAGAAGTTTTGAAAGTTACCAGAATTGTTCTGACTGCAATGTAATGAGCTCAGAAGGAGAGTGGTAGGTAGATCAGTAGTTAATACAAACAAACGTACATACCCTCGGAAGTTGCTAAGCAGCTCTTTGTGATTGTTTTTTGTATTTTTTTCCCCAAAACTTACCAGCAGTATTATCAGTCCCATCAGAGTGACTCCACTCTTCTTGGACAGTGTGGTTTTCTCCTGTAACAGTTCAAGTAGGAAAGTTGAGAAATGAAAGTGAGTGTTGAGAAGGGTGTGATGTGGGAAAGAGGAGGAGACATGGGGCTTTGTAGTTGGATATGGAGATGGAATTGGAGAGGTTGCACAGAAAAGACAGGATGGTGGAAGTTTGACAGAGCCAGGTCTAGGCAGGTTCATGATGGTTGGAGGGCCAACTGAGTTGACCAGGATTTGGAATCTGTAATTTCAGGCAATTTTTTCCTCTTTAAAAGCTTTTTAAAAGTTTTTTAGTTAATCTCAGCAATTGGTTAATATCACTTGTCATAAAAAGTCAGCAGCTGAATTTAATTGAAATTTTGTGAATTCTTTAGGTAATGCTCTCTTGTTAAGTAATGTTGAGGACATTTTATTATTTTTAGAAGTTGGAAATTGTGAAAATGACAATGGACTCAAAGGTCACAGTTCTATAATGGCCTTTGCAAAGGTATCTACCAAGTTTTACTTGGTAGTTAGGCCTTAGGTAGTTTCCATGTGCATCTGATCCCTGTGATAGTAGTTTCTTGCAACTTTGTTTTATAGTCTGTTTTTGGTAGTGGATTTTGGGGATTACCAATTTTTTAGAGATTGGTACTTATCTTGAGGTGCTGGATGGAAATGTACTGAGAAAAATCTAAGAAGAGGCATGTATCTTACTTAACATGATTTGAGTTTGCTTGAGTAAAACTTAAATAACCAAGAAATTTTATTTTCCCTTTTCTCAATTATTAACTGTCATAAAAGTGATCTGTGAGAGCCGATGAACTTCAGTGATCAGAGGAAAATAACAGTGATAATTACAGTACTAATCTGTTCTCACTTGGATTTTTTCTTGGGGTCTGACACAAAGCTAATTTCCAGTCCTGTAATTTTGTAAAGTATATGATGTGATACTTACGTTACATGTTAGTGATATCAAGAATATAAATTTTGTTTCTCACCTTTTGAATCAGTGTCCAAGAGAGATTACACGAAATTACTTGACTTAAAATATCAGTGAAAATATGTTGCAGGTGCGTTTTAAAAAGATCTAATTTCATGTGAAAATTCAGTCTATTTAACTGCAAGGAATATTTGCTGGAAGACTTTTTGATTTTTAAAGTAGTATTTAATATAAATGTGGTATACATTGTGGTACAAATTTCTGTAGCTAATACTCTGATAACCACTGTAATTATACTTTAAAAACACTGATCAGTGTTTCCTAAAGTCTGTAAGTGTTGACTTATAACACCGTAGAAGTATAGACTTTGCTATTTTATTTTAACTTGTCTTTCTCACCTCTTTCTGTTTTTTTTTTCTTTTCAGCTGTTTTCATTTAGGTAGGTAATTTTTGTCTTGTCAGAGACAATTGAGTTCAGTAACTTTCCCTGAGGAGATTATCACACTATTCAGTTATTATTATTTATAATATTATTAGGAACTCCATTATAAGTTATATTTGGTAAGTCAACGGATATTTTTTGAGTGTAAATGATCTCAGCCATTTGAATCAGCAGGAAATCTGAGCCTTTACAATAACTGTAATCAAGTACCATAAGCCTATGCTCTTTCTTCAGAAACTCCCTAAGTGGAGTAAATACATTTTGCAGCCCCAACAGGGTTAGTTATCTGATTTTTTTTTTAGCTCACAGATGATAATCCACAGGATTGGCCATTGAAGTTAGGCACCCTGACGGCTGAAGTGTCATTTTTATTTCAAGGGGGAAAGGAAGAAAAGCTTTTTAAAAATAGATGGAACTATAGAAGAATTGTGTTTTAAGGCCATTGCATAGAGACATACAGTCCTATTATTAACTCCTGAGGGAATCACAATATTGCAGAGCAGTATGGTACACGGTGTGTTTCACGATGACCTTAATCATAAATAGACTTTTATTCTATGTACTGTGTTTAAGGGAGTAAGGAATTGGTGTCTTTTTAAAAGATTGCTATGAGTAAATGTTTTCAAAGCTTTGTTAATTAATGCTTTTCAGTTTTCTGGAAAATTGACTTACAGAACTCATCTCGTAATACCAAATAAAAATGATGCTATTGTGTATGGCATTTCCTTTGTTTTATTTTATTGCTTTTCTCAATTTCCTTATTTATTATTCAAGGGATTACCTCCCAAATAAGGCTCTGTTACATTTAATATTTGATACCAGTGATAAGCAGTTGTGTAAAGACTAGCACTTTTATTAATAAAGGAATTTTCAAGCAAATCGTTAGAATTAGTCAATGACCTGTTTGTGTAATTCAGTTCTATAGTTTTGAACCCTGATAATGAGTCTCCATCTTTAGCACTGATGAGTGTCCTGAGGTGAGAAATGTTTCATCTTGTAGTGAATTTTCTTTGTTGCTTTGC